GCAAAATACGTTAAAATAAAAATATATATCCATAAAGTAACACTTGCAATCGATTAAACAAATTTTTAAAATATTCCGTGTACTCCCTTTTTGCTCTAACAATCGATAATTTGTCGTAAATTAATGTGACATACAATTCATCTTAACCTATTTCTTTGCTTATTTCTATTCAGATTAATTTATAATAAATTATTGATTATTAGAGCAAAAGGGGAGTGCACGGAATATCTTACAAATTTGTTTAATCGATTGCAAGTATTACTTTATGGATATATATATTTTTATTTCAATGTATTTCGCAAGAATTTTTAACATGCATTTTCTCGCTTCTGACGTCATTAAAAAGAGATAGACAATGCGAGGGGCCAGGAACTTTAAATGCTTAATATTTTAAAACTTTGTGCAGGTGCAACAATACTAGTAAACCAAGTCACACTGTGGACGCCCATACCGCAGAAGTTAACTGTCTCAGCTTTAATCCATATTCTGAATTTATATTGGCTACTGGCAGCGCAGACAAGACTGTAGCCCTCTGGGATTTGCGAAATTTGAAACTCAAACTGCACTCGTTTGAGTCACATAAGGATGAAATTTTCCAAGTTCAATGGTCACCGCACAATGAGACGATATTAGCGAGCAGCGGCACGGACAGACGATTGCATGTATGGGATCTTAGTAAAATCGGCGAGGAACAATCTACTGAGGACGCTGAGGATGGTCCACCGGAACTTTTGGTAATTACGCGAACGATAAACAGTACAGTATCATGACCAATGATATATTCTCTGTATATTTGAACGCTTAATTCTTGCAGTTTATACACGGCGGTCACACGGCTAAAATAAGCGATTTCTCGTGGAATCCGAATGAGCCATGGGTTATATGTTCAGTGTCTGAAGACAACATAATGCAAGTTTGGCAAATGGCAGAGAATATCTACAACGATGAGGAACCTGAAACACCGGGAAGTGAGCTCGAAACTGGCGGTTCATAACGTCTTAATTAATTTATCACATCACTTGCGATTGAAATCAACATTCAGATGTTCCCGTCAAGATTGAATTAAGTTACATGTCGACATCTCAACGTATACTTTTCGGTGACAGATGTTTCGAATTCCACTTTCAAGGAATCCTTGTCATCACTCGCTTATGTGTGTGACAAAACCGGCGACGTCATCTCTCTGTAATGGCGAAAGCTCAAGTAATGTTAGGGGATGTCAAGTACTTTTCTACTTCCTTTTAAGAATGATTAATAAAGAAGTGACATTCAATGTGACTTGCGCTTTTTCCAACTTTATTGCTGTTAATTCATTGCCGAGACGGTTTCTCGCGACACCAAGACGAGTTCCCATTTATTTGCTACAGAACTATCAGGGAGAATTATTTCGAGACAAACAATTCGCGCGATCGTCGGATCCTTGCGTTAAACGCAAGGAGAGCGCACGAAATTTACTCACATTGTCATACTGTACAAATTTGTCGTACACAAGCGCGCTTTTGCACACGATAAAATCAGCGATGGGATAATCGTTTATTCCTTGGCACATCGCATGGCAAGGTATAATAGGAACGTGCATTCTTATTCAAGATAAAATATATAGTGTACACGTATAATGTATAATATATATATTATATATATGTGTATATATATATTTATATATGTATACACATATATAGAACTTTGTTCCCACATTATAAAGCTGTTTGTGAAAGCTCGTTGTATATCTGCGTGAGTAGAGAATCGTCGTACTCGAGACTTCTCAGTGACGTCATGTCCGCGCTGTTGACACTCGCAACTCTGCAAGAAGAAATACTATTGAGTACTCGAGTATTTCTATGTTTCACCACTTAACTCGTATGTTCATTAATCAATGGAATTAGGTAATTGATCATTCATTACCAAAATCTGCGCGTTAAATGGACATCGCTTATAGAGCGTGTCTTATGCCAGCTGCGCATGCAAAACATATTATTTGCAACACGTCAACTGAGTTCGTACGAATAGATACGGACACTTATATGTACTTGATAGAGCTTGTCGTTAACGAACTAAGAGAGAACTTACCTTTTCCCAGCGTCTTGCCGTTTAATGCCGTCAAGCAGATTCATTATGGAGGGCGTCAGGGTCGGACGAAACACCTGAAATGAAATTGCAATATAAATGCATCGTATAAATGCACGTGGAATACGCATTTTTCACGTTTACCGTTACAGCCGCACATCGCATTTCGCGGAGGTCGATGTTCCTGAAGAGATCGTGGATAAGCAGCTCCTCTATGCTAGTGAAGTGACTGTCCGATTCCGCGAATATCAGCTCCAGAAATCTCACTACCTGCAAAATTAAAGGACGAATCAATATTTTGCAAGACGAAACAGTCACGTATGAAGTCATAATCGCGGTTGTGAGCGATACCTGCGGATACATCTCAATGTCTGATAACTGGGCGGCAGACGGTCTGAAGGTACACAACTCGTAGCCGGCGCACATCTCGAACAGCATATGACCTGACGTAAAGCAGAATATCGTTCTACAGAATGTCTGACGATATAAGTGTCCTATATCTTACGTACATGTAGATTAGGTCAAACTGAACACAAAATTCCTCTACCATCTCGCAAACTATCTATATGTACACGAGATATAGGATACTTAACGTTAGGTACCCTGTATATTCGCGTGAGTGGAGAGTTGAAGCTCGAGGCTCGAATGGAAAAGTCGTATGGGGCAGTGTCCGTGAAAGTTATTACAAAACGCTATGAAGTAACGATGAATTTTATACTCCATTATTTTAAATTACGATGAGTCTCTTTCCTCTTCGCAAGATATATTAAAAAATTCATCGTGAACAAAACGGGATTTCGTATCATCGAATTTGGAGAATCCATAAATAGAGAAGAGAGAAAAATTGAAGAATGATGATATGAAATACTATGTAGAGAGAATATCTCTCTTGGCAAAAACATAAAACCGTAGAGAAGTGATTTAAAATCCAATTAAAATGGCGTGTTCTAACGGAAAATTTTATGTATCGAAGAAAGCAATTAAAAGTTCGATTAAAGCTCCGCGACCCACCGAAACATATGATATCGATCGAGCTAGACTGCGTTAATCGGGACGTGACGATTGGATGTATGCGACTTGTGAACCCCAGGAGAGTGTTCTCCAGGCCGGCCAACCTCGCCACGCCGTTCTGGATCACCACGTTACCCGAATGCAAGTGCGTCACCGTGGGGAATCCGCGCTCCTTCAGAAAGATCAGCGCTTCCAATATCTGACGTCCCATTCGTTGCACCTGCGGTAAGGTCAGTCCTTTACCTCGCGACGTGTACTTGTGACTCCAGTCCTCGTTCCAGCAATTCCGCTCGATCTGTCAAGCGATATATTTTCTTATCAAGACACTTCTCCTCCCTTGGAGCGAGTCAATATACATGAAAACCGAAAAACTATAAACTTCCCGAGTTATTACGAGTGGGCGGTGGAAAATAGGTCGCGCGAATTAATCTACGCTGCTGCGAATAAATAGCGGGATGATCTCCCGCTAAATTCATGTAGACTTTATCTCAACGGAAAATTTCAGTATTTAATCATCAGGACGTTTAATGATACTTAACGGAGATTCGGGAAAACGAAAAGAGAAAGATGGTACTATTTGGGCCTTCCTTAATGTAAAAAACGACCATAATTTGGAAGATAAAATTACGCGGTTTATCAGCATTCAGTAGAAATTGCACATTTACGTGAGAAATAAAACACTCACGCTGTATATTAGATCCTTGAGGCTACCTTGGTTGATCGGCTGCACCAAAACTATGTACGTTTGATCCTCATATTCGACAAAATCGACAGTGAACACGGGGCAGATGTAGGGATGTTGCAAGGCTAAAAACAAATTGTTCAAGATATCCTTGGTGGACGGACAGACGCTCAGCGGGCAGTTCCTATTCAATGGCACCAGAGTCAGCAGCCTGTCGGTCTTCAGCGAAGTGTCCCTCACCATGAACCAGTACTTGTCTACCCTTGATCCTAAGATATACGTTTTGTTTCTCTTTATCAATATTTTCTTATTCATTTCATTAATATATTAATATATTCTGTTTCTTATTCATTTCATTAATATATCAATATATTCTCAATATATCTCAATATATATATATATCAATATATTCTTAATATATTAATATATCAATATATTAATATATCAATATATTCTCTCTTCACCCGTTGAAATAAATCACGATGACTATCCTGCTTAAAAAATCCGATGGAGTTATGTATAAAAAAACCAATATAACCGAATCGCCTTTTTTTATAAATGTTAAATATGTTACCTGATATGTTAAACAAATTTTCTATATAAATATATGCTAAAAGCATACACGTTCAGATAAATATTTAATTGTTTAAAAATGATTTTGTATATTCATTTGGACGTACATGCTTTTTAATTAAAGCGGTAACTTACGATCAGTACCAACAATACAATAAGTTTTATATCATAGTATATATTATTCGTATCCATTGCGAATAAATATTTTTTATTTCTTAGATATTTTCTCACTTAGCGCAAGTATGTGTTTTGCTACTTCTCTTTTGTTGTTTTGATTCGGTTACGTCGGAGTTTCGTTGTGGGATTTCGCGACTAGAGAGAAACGTGACAGTTTCAGGACACCCGGCGGATTTCAGTGCGGCACTTGAGCGGCTTTCGATTCGAGCCGCGCCGGACGGAATCAAGAACGAGTGTCGGCTCACCGATGTTATTGAGCTGCTTGATGAGGGCAAAACGCGGCGTTTTCTCGATGTAATCCCGACAGATTGATAAAGCACGATCCCTGGATCTCTTCTCCATCTCCACGTACTCGACCCCGTCCTCGCTCACCTTCGACCCGTGATTCAGCGCTGTGTAACGGCCGTTCCTGTCGGAGAAAGGGGTTTGCACGAGATCTTTACAAAATAGATACGAAGGTAAGGACAACAGCAGAGTGAAAATTTACGATATCGCGTTAGTTTTGTTTCTTGAAATCTCAATGACAAAATTTGTTGGATAATTTTAAATCGATCTTTCTTTAGCGAAAGTATCGGGGAGACTCCTCAGATTAAGATTCCATTAAAGTAAGATCAGTTGAAATTAACTGGGAAGAGATATGGTTTTGTTATATGTTCGTTTCTTCCAAGTTTCCTCCTATTCTTATTCTGCCATTATACGTTTTCGCAAAGAAAAAATCGATTTTAAATGCAGCAAATCCACATTATTAAACTAAAATTAAGGTCTCCAGATGGCATGAAATATTCTATAAGTGTTCTTACGAAATACAAACGTTCCAGAATATTTGAATTGTATATTCAACGAATATACATGCAATATTGCGGGCAAAGCTTCATAAAGAATATTCGAAAAACATTCATAGAACATTCTTGTGCTATCCGGGTCAAAGATTGCTAAAGCTTTATCAGTATCAATGCATGTGGTTCCGTGAGATGTTCGCAACTTCCCAAGAATGCGACATCGTTCTTTGTATACCTCGTACATCATACATCAGAGAGAGACGTTCTACCTGTCGTCGAAAGGTATCGTGTTGTTTCGCGTGGTCGATACCGCTCGTCCGGACAGCTCCTGTGCATTATCATCGCGTCTCAAGTGGCCCCAAAAGCGGATTAGATTCGCAAGCCACGGATTACGATGCGGTCGCGTGCCACTAACGCGCCACGTTGCTCTACGACTGCAAGGGATTTCATCCAATAAGAAGACCGTGCGCAACAACCGTGCATCGTTGTATAGTTACAGTCAACCTTTACACGGCTTATGCTTCCGCGAGATAATCGAATTAACGACTATCGCGATCTATACAGAATGTCCCAGAAAAAAAGCACCGTCGCTTTCGATCAGCAGACGACAGAAAGAGACAACTGATCGTCTCTCTGCGTCTGTAATTTTGTAATTTTATAATTCTTTGAGAAATCAACCGTCTTTCCCGGTATACTACACAACTATGATCTCTATAATTATAATCTAAACTCTATAGCTACAACAGTAACTCTATAACTTCGTGGTTCCATTATTTTACGAATAGTTCTCTCTTTTTACGTGGAAAAAATATTGTAGTAAAAATTACAACAAAAGTAGTTTCTTGTAATTTTGGACCATATAGAATTATGATCGAAATTACTAGATATATATTATTATATATTATATAATATGTAATATTATATATATTTGTTATGCACTCATTTGACTTTTTACTAAAAAATTATTGTAATTATTTAAGTGTTTTTTATATAATATATAGGTTTGCTATTCCTGGAAACTTACACTACAATTTCAGTACAGTCTGGTTTTACAAAAAACATTGTGCAAAATATAGTTTTAACGTAATTTTTACCACAATATTTTCTCCGCATACGAATCTGACTTTATAATTTTATAATAACTCGACAGCTGTTCCATTTTTTCCGCGACTATAGCTTGGAAAGTCTGTGATTTCATTATTTTTTTAAATTACGTGTCTAATTCTGGATCCCTCGAGTTGATATAGAAAGTATTTAAGGATTCCGGCGAAAATTCCGAGACATTCTGCACATCTGTACGTAGTTACCTGCGTACTGCGAGTCGGAAGTTTCCGTCCACTCTGTAGCAGATTTCTGCCGAGATATTTCGGTGTTCTGGGTCCATCACATCGATCAGATACTGTCGCGGATCGATAATCACGTGTTAACGAGTTCGCGAAGATGAAGAAGATAAAGGAATATTCACGAAGGCGACGCGTGCTAAATCTCCAGTGGCTCGGATCGGATCTGTTCTTGGTTTACAAACAGAGACGAGCGCTTGAAGATGCGTGACGCGAGTGTATCAACTAATTTACTGATGCAGTAACTGATTTATAGGAATGTGCGCGAGTCAGTGGCGCGATTGAAGCGCAAAAACGTTATAACGACAATATCGCACGGAGAAGAAAGATTGCTAGAATTAACGTGACAATGATACGATTAAATATGTTTTGAGGGAGGGAGGGAATTTCTAACGAAATAAACTAATTTCAATTTTTAAAATCCAAAAACTACGTTTTCTTTCCAAAATGTATTTAAGGTGAAAATGCCAAAGCCTGGACACTTCTAATAACATTGATACCTAACTCTAAATATCCTTATTATTTAAATATGAATATATGAATTTTCAATATAGAATATATATATACGTATATTGAATATATAAATATACTCTATTAAAATATTCGTATTTAAAAATCAAATATTCGTATTAAAATTCGCTTAAATATTCGTATTTAAAAATCAAAATAATATGAATGTCCACGGGGACTGGTATGTTTGTCTTGGTTGCATCATAGCTACGTTAATTCGACCAATTAATTTAACCAATCTTTTTTTCTGCGTACGACAATCGACGAACCGCATCGATTTCTCCTGACGCAACAAGTAATAACGGAAGCAAGTCGAGAGGAGCGGTACATATCGCTGCTGCGACACACAATTTCCGAGAAGATTAACCAGTTCGTCGAGAGATTACTCCAAAATTCGTTTTATACAGGAATAGGACACAAGCAACAGGACACAATCCACGAATCCGCGAAACAGATTTCACCAACGCGATTTACGCTTCATCTTTCGCGTTGCTTCTTTCGTCGACGAGGTGTCTTTTGAGTTACCTATTCTTCGACATACAACTCGGTAATTTCGCGGTTCTACTAGTTCTAAGAATATCGTACTCCATAACTCCACAACTCTACAACTTTATAATCATACAACTTGCTTCGACTCTCCGCTTGGATCTTTTGACTTTATGTGAGTCACGCACCTGAGATTTCTTCTAAGCTTCTGAACCCAATTATAAACTATACAGCTAATTATAAACTCGCTCAACTCTGTCCTGTACTATACCCATCGCTTCAGAACTCTAGAAGTTGAGGTAAATCTCGCTTTAAACCCGGATGCCAACTCGACGACCGCGCGCATTGTAAGTTCCAACTAGACCGAGCTTCCTTACCGGCGAACTTAAAGCTACCAGAGTGTACGCGCGTTTCTACCCTTCTTATACCCACTTGACGTCACCCTGGTCCTTGTATCCTCGCGCCGCCGACACGCGGCTAAAGAGCAGCTTCGCCAGGTTGTCGAGCTTGTTCGCCAACTGATGACCCTTGTCTTCCTCGCTCTCGTCGTCCTCGGTGCTCACGCTGCGGCCACGTCGCAGCGAGCCCCGCGCCGACGTCATCGCCCTGGCATTCAACTCGGTCGCGCTCTGGGTCCTGCGATTGACGGCGCGACGTCGCCGACGGCTGCTTGAGTGACCGCCACTGCGGTGCTGGCAGAACCGGTCATGACCGGTCACTTCCGACTCGCGGCCCCTTGGTCCGTCGCCGTCGCCGTCCTTCTTGTTCAGGCTCTGGTAGAGGTTGAACATCGTTGCGCCGCCGGTTGGTGTTCGTTCAGGAATGGTACTGTATGTCGCCTCGGTTACTTTGGTCCCCAGCACGTCTGAAATCCTTTTTCAGAATCGCCGATCGCGTTCGTTTTAGAACAACCTACTTTGCAAACGAGCTCTGGTGAGACCTACATATTTGTCAGCTATTTTGATCATGTCTTCATAACATTTGAATTGATTCAAGAATATTGAGAGAGAAAGAGAATTTCGCGATTCTTTAGTTAATTAGTATTGTTCAAATCAAAATCATAAAAATATCAATTTTTCGCAATTTAATAATTGATTTATAAACAAACGTGTTTCATTTCAACTAATTGATTTAAGATTTTTGATTTCAACTAATTGAGCAAATTTAATCAAAGAATGTTTAAATGGCGTTATTAAATGGGTTATTAAATGGGCTTATTGATTTCAAAAAATTCAAGTAAAGATGATTCAAAATCGATGATTGAATTTAGTAAATTTATTTAAAGATTACATAAAATTTAATTAAAGAATTGAAATTTAATTAAAGATTGAATTTAATTATGAAGATTGAATTTAGCAAATTTAATTAAAGATTCAATCGATTGGATTTGCTTGTACCAATCGTCGATAAAACATCCTTTAATTAGGTTTGCCAAGTTCAATCGTCGATCGAACTGTTTTCGATCGAATTTGTCGAAATCATTTATCAATTAGGGCTTCTGGTCCCTCCCTGCTATAAAGCTTAAACGATCTCTAATTCAATTGGCTCACATTAATCATCAATTAAGCACAATATAATTAAGTAAAAGTAATTAATTATTCGCAACCTTGGTTCAAACTGTAAAATAACGACTTGTTATTCAATAACTCAATAACTCAATAGTGACTTGTAATTGGATATCGTTCAAACATCTTCCACGAGCTTCGTTTCAAATATAATTGAATTTGGAAGGCGTGGCTGTTTATTCATTTTTTGCAAATACGACGAGGTTTTTGAACGCCACTCGTTTCGATAACTCGTCGTAATTCAGATTGTACCCGCAAAAGATTATTTTAAAAGTCGGATTCTAGGCTATTTTCTTTCGGGAGAATCGGATAGTTAATTAATTTATTCCACCGCTTCGCCAAGGCGGAAAGGGTTCGTTCCAACGACATGAAGGAGGAAAAAGCATATTACGCCTTCCTTTTTACGACTTCGTCGTTGTAATCGTCAGCGTTTATCCCGACAAAGGAAAAACGACGAAAGGTGGAAGGAAAAACTTTCTTAATTAGTTCTTTCTTTCTGTCTCTCTCTCTCTCTCTCTCTCTCTCTCTCTCTCTCTCTCTCTCT